AAGGGCCAAGAGGAAATTAGCCAATATTTTCTCCCTCCAGACAAAGGGGCTGGAAGTGCAGCTGCCAACATTTCCTGCTGTGAGTTGTTGGTAGGCCCAGCTACCTCAGTGTCAGGCCTGTCACATATTCTTTCCTCCTGACATTTGCTTTCTCTTGTGTTTGAATTTAGCATGCTCCACTGCTATGCATTATGGGGCATCTCAAATCACTTTAGGGCACGGGCACTCTACTGCCTCAAATCCAAGGAGCAACAAAAAGCAGATGCTTCCTGAGAAGTTTCCCTTGTTGTCTGGTCTGTTGATTATATATTATTTGGAGTTTCCAATTAACATGACGTGGTTTGGCAGGTTTCAGCTGCCTCAAGATTGGCCACAGAATTATAGTTAGTTTGGGAGTGAGGACTCCAATGTAATGAGACATTCATACTTTAGGGAGGACCTTCTGAATTTGTGATAGCTTTAATAGCACAATCAGCAATATCACAAACACTATAACATAGCAAGGTAGAGAGAGATAATACAAGCATCCAGAACTTGCAAACTCACTTTGCTGGGGAGCCCCATAGTAGGTAAGATGGCCTACAAATAGTCCTTGCCCTGTCAAGTTCCAGGAAATCTCCCAGGAGTGCATGGGCCGAACACCACCTATTATCATAGGCCATGCTAACACCCACTATGCCTGATACATATTCAGTAGGGGTGTCAGTCCCCTTTCCTCATCTGTATTTCCTCACCCTATTCATGCTCAGCCTTTTACCTTAAGCTCATTATTGTATAGTTACCAGGAGATAATATTGGAGAGCAACAAGCTCTAGAACTTGTCTGAAGCATCCTGAAGAAGAGCTCTGCGTAAGCTCGAAAGCTTGTCTCTCTCTCCAATAGAAGTTGGTCCAATAAAAGATATTACCTCACCCACCTTGTCTCTCTAATAGCCTGGGACCAACACAGCTACAACAACACTACATACAATTAGTTACGACAGCATTCTTAGGGTTGGACATCTGCTGAGTTTCTAACTTAAAATATCACAAGGTGCCATTTTATACCAGCTTTAGGTTACCTGTCAGCAGTTTAGCAACACTTACTTACAACAACGCTCTATCTTGTGACATCTGGTGATATAGGGTCTCCTACTAGTTAGTTGCTTATGTCAAGTCTTTAGGTCTTAGCTTGAGTTAATTTGACTAAGCTGTTGTCTTACAGGCTTGAGACCGGTAGGCTTTTGCGTTACTGCTTTAATCCAGTGGTTCTCAATTAGACATTTGCTTATTTGACATCAGGCTTCAGAAAAAGTACTAGCGAAGTCAGTACAAACTAAAATTTCACACAACTTGTTTATACTGCTCTCTATACTATACACTGAAATGTAAGTATAATGTTTATATTCCAATTTATTTATTTTATAATGATGTGGTAAAATAAGAAAGTAAGCAATTTTTCAATAGTAGTGTGCTGCAACACTTTTGTATGCAAGTAGTTTTCAAGTGAGATGAAACGTGGGGATATACAAGACAAATCAAACTCCTAAAAGGGGTACAACAGTAGTCTGGAAAGGTTGAGAGCCATTGTTAGCATATGCCCATATATCTATAGCAAAATAGCTGGCTACAGCCTGTAACTTGTAGACCCTGTCTTAGCCTCATATTTAGACAATTTTGTGATACAAATCTTAATTTTATTAAATATTCCTCTTCCCATTTTATCAATAGAGATTTTCACATAAAAAAAGGATTCTTGTGTCTGAGACTTCACCTACTCTTGGTTTCCCCCCCCTCAACTCAAAGTCTTATCCTTGTCTATAACATCATATCACAATCCGCTACTGAGAAAATGATTGGGAGGGCACCAGCAGAAGAACAACTCTAAATGTGAAAACACAAAAAGAGGGAAATCTTCAAGGAATACCCTGAGGAATACAATCATTGTTTCTGTGCACACATTTCTAGTAGCAATGAGGATGAGAGGCACACTCTAAGGTGAATTGTTACAGAATAGAATGTCCTTCAAAGTTCTTGCTGAGATGTCGCATGCTCCTGTCGACAATAAAACGAAGGAGATACAGACACCTCATAAATCCTATTTTTAGATTCAGTTGAAGAAAGGTTTGTTATCTCACGATGCTAAGTGGGAGATGTGAGAATTTGAAATTTAATGTGTACTAAGAGTTTTTTCAGTATTGCCTGCTAGTACAGTGGAATTTCAAATATAACCTTCTAGCATATAAAATAGGCTCTATGAAAAATCATTCATTTAAATGTGGTTTTATTGTATTGCCAATAGAGATCACTTTCTTGGCTTTGTTGAAATTAGTTTAAGAATCATACATCTCTATAATGCAAAATCCTAGCATCTGTGAAAGTAAAAAATATTGATGTGCATTACTAAACATATGTTACTGGCTGCAACTATTATTAGTTCCATCTGTCTTGGGGTTTGCCTGAGCAGAAAAACAGAGAAAAATCTGACAAAGGACCTCAAGTTTTAGCACAATAATAACAACGTGATGAGATATAATACTGGGATAGTAAAAAAGGAAAGAACATAGGGACAAATCCACAGCGTCTTAGTGCTAAACTGAGCAAATTGCATGCAGTGCAGAGGACACACACCACCTCAGTAGCAACACCTAGAGGCACTCTGTCTCCCAGAGCTCCTGGGTGCACAGGGGCTGCATACCCTTTGTAGGGTGCAGATTAAGCAGCCCCACTAGTCAATGTGTGACAGTCACCACCTTGGCTGACACACTGGGACCTGAACTGCACCTTCAATGCTAAAAGCAGAATCTGGGTTGTAACAGATTTGTTTCCTCTGCCGCTAGGGCAAAGCAGGGAACTTGTAATACACTCACCAGTGGGTTATAAATGCCTGTGTTTTGAGATGGATGGAATGGTGAATTCGTGGCTCTGATTCCTCCCTGAGAAACAGCAACAGCTCCTGTGTGCCCCAGGATGTCAGAGGTGCAATTCTGTTGGGCCCTTGCTTTGGTCTGCTCAGCAGTAGGCTACTTATGCCTCCTCCTGATCTCAATGTGCACATAGGGCCAGGTAGCCTCTGTCCCTTGATTCTTACCCAGACAATACTTTGCAGAGTCAATCAGATACTAATTAGCACAGGATGGGCTAAGGAGAGCAGTACTGCCAACTTCAAAAATCGTAAGTCAGCCCCCCCCCCCCAAATCATGAGATTTATTTAAAAAAATTTTGTTTGTTTTTCTATTGACCTTCTGTTTTATAAGCATTGATGTTTCATGCTTTTCTCCACAACCATGCAGGCTACAAAGTTACTTAAAAAATTTAAACCTGTGATTTTCACATACCATGGCTCCAGGAGCTGCAGTATTAAAGAAAACCACCAAATATTGAGAGACTTGAGAGCTGGCCACGCTGGGGGAGCTCAGAAGAGAGGAAGTGACTGAGCAGCTGAAAGGGAGAATTTCCAGACCGGGACTGCACAGGTGAGTGAATGACTCCCAAATATAGAGCGGCAAAGGCAGATCAAGAAAGCAAGCCAAGGCTTTAGGTGTGGCTGGGGAAGTAGGTGGATACAAGGTCACAGAGCAAAGCCATGGACACTTTCAAAAACCAGGATTTTTAATTTAATTCTTCTATGGACAGAAAGCTGATGAATGTGATGGGTGATGGAGTGACCTGTCCTGTCTTCCTCTAGGGAGGAAGAAATTGCAACAGTTGAGACCCAGAACCATGAGAATTAAAAAGGATTTCAAAAGAGACGAAGTCACCACAGGGATGCATTCTGGTAACATTCCACACATTAATAGGCAGGATTATTAGACGAAAGAGCTGTGGGAAATAAAAGGATATTTGGGAGTAAAAGATGACTCCACTGTCCCACATGTGGAACAAAATAAGCAATTAGAGCAAGGTCAGAAACAAGGGACAAAGAAGACCTTTTACCCAGAAGGAGGGCTTCCATCTGCGAAGCGATCACTGGTAGGAATTTATGGTGTAGCCAGACGCTGACAAAGACTCTGACCCTACAATGAGCTCCATACAGGCCAACTCTTGAGCTTTGGTTGCTTATACAGAAGACACATCCCACAAAGTATTTCAGTTGTTTAAGTAAATGGCTGGTCTTAATACATTAAGTGCTCCTCACTTAATGAATACTTGTGGTCATTAGAGCATTGCAAACCTAAAACCAGGTAAAACTCATCTGATTTTCGGGTTCATCACAAACTCAACCCTTGGGGAAACACACACACACACACACACACACAAAATTGCGAACACTTTCAGTCAATGAGGAATAATTTACGTGTGTGTTTGTTGTTGCTGGGGTTTTGTGTGTGTTTGTTTTTTTAAATCTGCTTAATCCACAGTTTCAAACCCAAAACACTAAGTGAAATTTGCTGTTGCAAATCCACATACAGGAAAACCAAAGAAAAATCTTGGGCAAAGCCCCAGAAACCATAATGGATGAGTTTTGCTCACCTCTATACATGATCGAATGATTTCTGATTATGCAGCAAGTTTGCTAAAGCAAAGGATGATATAGAAGAGAAGATAATCAAATTACAGGAAGGGAGAAACAAGGTGAATTTATAAATTATATAATGATTCTAATGGTAAATTCTCATTCAATTAATTACTTTGCTAGTTCCCTAGGAACCAGTAGACTGTGCTCATGAGTCACTTCCCAAGCCAAGATCCAGAGAGACTCCTTATCGTGTAGGTCATGGGTCGGCAACCTGGGCATGTGGCCCATCAGGGTAATCCGCTGGCAGGCCGCGAGACATTTTGTTTATGTTGACCGTCCAGAGGCATGGCCCCCTGCAGCTCCCAGTGGCCGTGGTTCAATGTTCCCAGCCAATGGAAGCTGCAGGAAGCGGCAGTCCGCACGTCCCTGTGGCCCACACTGCTTCCCGCAGCTCCCATTGGCTGGGAACATCGAACCACGGCCACTGGGAGCTGCGGGGGGCCGTGCCTGCGGACGGTCAACGTAAACAAAATGTCTCGCGGCCTGCCAAGAGATTACCCTGATGGACCGCATGCCCAAGGTTGCGACCCTTGATGTAGGTATAAACAAAAAAAGAATGTTCTGTTTCATGACCATGATGCAAACCATACTGTCCTGCAAGAATTCTTTTCAGCTCATTAAAACTCTACTTCTAATACGCCCAACTCAATGCATAACCGTGTTGCTAATATACTTTATTCCACAGCTTTACACCTTGGACACTACCACACACCCAGCATTAGGAACATAGGCCTGGATTCAGCATATGAGTCAAGCACAGGGAGTGAACATCACCCACCCCCAGTCCCTAAAGGGAATCTGTGCAAAAGATACTATGACTCCAGGCTGTATTAGCTTCTTAACAGAGCCACTCCATGCTGGTATCTCTTTCAACCCCACCTCTCCATCACCACCTCTGAAACAAGAATTCAGAGGAGATGCCAGATGGGGAACCTCAAAGAGTTTTCTCTTCCACAAAAAACCAGGAAGGAGCCATAAGGGAGGGGGAACTCCGCACCCTCACCCAAAGTTATTTTTGGAATACCGGAGACTTTTTTTCAACCAGAAACTGCCATTTTCCAGGCTTTTGTACTTGCTCTTGGGAACAGCATCTCTTAATTTGACATCCAATAATGCTATCCAGAGAAGAATGAGGTAATTGCATAAGCTATTAGTGCTGGAAGAAACAGGATGCTAATACACCAATGTTTGAAAAGGGCTTTGAAGATGAAAAGTCCTGAGCATTACTGCTAGTCAATCAGCATTTAAACATTTGTGTCTAACAAATTCACCACTGTAGATACAGCTTCCTTCAACACAGCTCCCCACAGCTAAAGGGACAAGAGGACAAATCTTCTACCAGAAATGGAAAGGGAGCATTAGAATGACTGATGGCATCTAAACTATGAAGGAGACTACTGGAGACACCAGCTTCTAGTTCTGAGCCCATTCCAAAGGCCATTGAAGTCAACAGGAGTTCTTCCGTTGACTTCAACAGGCTCTGGACCTGGACTTCAGACGCGCAATAGGATAAACTGGTTGATGGTATCAAAAGCCAAGTCGGAAGAGGAAAAGAGATTGCCATCAATTAATTATGTATTATTTACACATTTTAATCTCACAAATATTTATTTGTTGCCCTATATCGCTCAGGAATTTAACCAAATTCATTTCTAAAATAAATAATAAGTGTAGATGTGTACCGGATAGGGTGACCAGACAGGAAGTGTGAAAAATCGGGACGGGGGTGGGGGGTAATAGGCGCCTATATAAAACACAGCCCCAAATATCGGGATTGTCCCTATAAAATTGGGATATCTGGTCACCCTAGTACCAGAAGGTTTAGCATAACTGCTATCCAACAAAGAGCAGAGTCTGTAGTGTTTCACATCAGGGATGATGCAACAATCTATGGCTATCTTTCATCTTATGGCTTTAGCACATATGTGCACTTATCAGATAGCACTTTGGTGAATGCAGCTTTTCTGGCCCTTTGGTCTGGCAAATCGCCTCTCTTCAAGGCCTTTGATACGGGGCACTGTATCCCCTGCATCCCTCTCTAGCCCTTGAAGGCACATCACTTGATTTTGAATTTCTCCCCATAGGACAGTATCTTGTTCCTTGGCCTGATTTCTGGGAAGGAAGAAGTTTTTCTTTTAAATGACTCACAAGAACACAGTTGAGAAAGAAAAAGTAGAAGGGGCATATTCTATATGCTTATTGCTTATGCTATGCACAAAATAACCTACATTCCCCAAAAGTATCATTCTCAGAATAGAAACGACAGTGCTTTGCACTCTAACACCTTTTTAAATCACTCAAAATGCCTAACTCCCTGGGAATCTGTTCTCAAGTTGGTACAGCTTGACAGAATGCGGGAATAGGCAGTACCTAGAAAGGTACAAATATATATATTTTAAAGGGATATGAGGAAAGCCTGCACACATGAGATTCGATTTCTTTTCTATGAGTTCCCTGCTTTTCCCTAGTGATTAGCCCCTACACCCTGCATGGTTCTGCTATCTGCAGCGAGAAACTATCTGGCGACATCCCAGGAGTGTTTTCACGCTAGCCCGAAATGCCGTTCAAGAGAAAAACAAACAGGACATTCCCACAGACATCTTTTAAGTATCCTTTAAGCAATCAAGTTGTTGGGTGGCTAAAGCCACAGTGTCATAACAATTGCCATCTTACAGTAGTTTACAATCTTTCTGCTTAATTTACAGAACACGGGATCTCTTCACACTGATCTGGTTGCCGCCATGTTGTTCCTTACGTAGGATTGACCGGAATGATTTCACTTTATCTTGGATCTCAGTCAGAATGCCAATCTTTTGCCCCAGGACTGCTTCAAACTGTGCAGCGTAAAAATCCACGTCATAATCTATTTCTTCAGCCACTTCCAGGAATACTTTCAACCATCGAAGAGATTCCTGGTGCTCCTCTATAAGTGCTTTCTCATCCAACTCTTTTCTTTTCTTCTGGGCTTTCTCTCTGGCATTGAAAGTAAACAACTGAGGAGAGACTTCCTCCTCTTTCTGTACACAAAATACTTTGAACTCATCCGTCTCAGGCAAGCTCTGTACAGTCCATGGTTTCTTCAGGTCATCCAGCTGATATGGGAACTGGGTGATGATTGAATGTGACTGTCCAAGGGAATTAGGATCTACCATCAGTTCCTTCACCCTGTTGGCGTACCTTAGAGTATTGAGAGTGTGCTCACAGGATCTCATCCCTGGAGAGATGGTGGCGATCATGCAGGTGCATGAATTCTCCCCTATGAACGAGTCCCTTAAAACCTGGGTGAGTTTACTAGCCCTGAATGGGGTATGGGCTTTGTTGCGCCCGAGGGCCCTGATGCATTCCTTAAGTGCCAGGAGACTCTTGTTAATCTCAGCCCCTTCCAGCCTCGTCCGCCTGTCCGCACTGCCCGTGTCTGCTCCTCTCTCATTCCCAGCCAAGTCAATCAGGGAAAACTTGCCGTGCAGCTTCCCTCTCTTCCGGAGGATGATCTGGAAGATGGCATGGCTGCGGGAGGAGTGGGTGTTGGCAGAGGTCTGGCCGGACGTCCTGCACCTGTTGCCCATCTCGATGAGCTTCATGACATCCTCCACGCAGCTGACCTCCTCCTCCTGCAGCCCCACCACCTGGATCTGCTGCTTGCCGTCCTCCAGCACCTTCAGCCGGTTCCTCCAGTTGAGCAGGTCGTACACCTTGCCCCCATAGATCTCGAAGAAAGCCCCGTAGACCTGGAGCTCCAGTTGCTTGTAGCTGGGCTCCTGCAGCCAGCAGAAGACATCCTGGGCTGCCAGGGTGTAGATGCCCTTGGGGCAGCCCTGGCCCTTGGCCGAGAGGTCTCCCACCATGGTGTGGGTCTTGCCGCTGCCCGTCTGGCCGTAGGCGAAGCAGGTGGCCATGCCCCGGCGGAAGATGCTCTCCACCAGCGGCTGGGCCGTGTTCCTGTACACCAGCTCGTTGGGGGCGCTCTCGTCGAAGGCGTGGTCGAAGCGGAAGGTCTGGCTCTCCAGGTAGCGGCTGAGGTCCAGCCTCTGCCGGGCCTCGTGCACCACCACCACGCCCCGGCAGGGGACGGTCACCACGTCGAAGTCCTGCAGCCCGGCTTCCCGCGGGTTGAGCGGCCGCTTGCGGACGCAGACGCGGATCCGGTGCTGGGGGCCGGGCTCGGGGCCGCCCAGCGCCCCGCCGAGCAGGCGGCCCCGGTACTCCTGGATCATGCAGATCACGTCGTAGTTGGGGTGCGGCGAGCCGGCCGCCTGCTGGGCTCGCTGCTCCCGCAGCTCCCGCTGCTGCAGCCGCCGCTTCTGGCGCAGCTCCTGCAGCCGCTCCACCTGCCGCACGCACGGCGATTTCCTGCCGGGGCTGCAGCGCCCCGCGCGGGGCCGGCCGGGCTCCGGCTCCCCGCCGTCCCCGCAGGGCTGCTCCAGCTTGGCGGGCGTCGCCGCCGGCTCGGCCGGGAGGCTCTGGTCGCCCTGGGCGGAGCAGGGCGCGGCGGGGGCCAGGTGGGGGTTGAGGGCGAAGGCGAGCTGCAGCTCCACCCTCTTGCCTTTGTTGGCCCCCTGCTCGACCCACTCCACGGTGAGGCTGGAGCTGTCCCGGTGCAGCGCCGTGACTAGCGCCGGGTGGATGCGCCCATCGCTGCGCTTGATCTCCAGGTAGGAGCCGACCAGGATGCTCCCGAACTGGCCGGCCATGCGCTGCGGCGACGGGGCGGCCCCGATCCCCGGCAGCAACGGGAAGCGGGAGAAAGGGGCGGCGGGAGGGAGCGGGGAGCCCGAGGGAGGCGGCTCCAGGGGGCAGGAGGCGCCCCGGGGCCTGAGAGCTGCCAGCCAGCGCATGGCCACGCCCGCCCCAGCCGCCCGACCGGCCCCCGCTGGGCAGCGCCCGGCGTCACAATGAGCTGGGGCCCGGACGTCAGGCTGGTGGGGCCCCAGGTCCCGCACAGCTGCCAAGCCTCCAGCACCGTCTCTTCTCGGGCATGGAGCGGGAGGAGTGCGGAGCCCCGCAGTTAACAGCGCTAGTCGGGGACAGCCTGGAGGTGGTAGTGGCAGGGAGGAGAGCGAGGGTCAACTATTCAGAAGCGAGGGAGAAGCCACAGTCCTACTGGAAATCGCTCAGATCATACCCCTGAAACATTTCAGCTTGATCCCCCATCTGATCTAGGGCATTTCTTCTTTCATAGCGATGGCCTGAAGGTGGGAATAAAAGGAGTTGCCAAACATCTCCCACGTTTCCTAACATCGCCGACGTTTCCTGGGTGTAGTCTTGACCTTTCTTTGCTCGGTGATTTTTTAAATAGGAGGGTGGTGGGAACAACAGCCGCTTCCACCATTCCAAAGTCCTGCTTGAATTTCCAGGCTAGTGCATCCGTGCGGTGACACATCATGTCGAATGAGATCAGTCACAGGGGTAGCTAATGTGACTGCTATCACAGTTTAGCGTGGTGACGCTTAAGTGCAGAAATTCAACAAGGCATTTTCCCTCAGACCGTGAAAACCACAAAAGCAAAAGATAAAAACTGCCACCTTGTATTGTTCAAATATAAGTATGAAAACACTGTTATTGCTTCAAAGACAGTCTTAGGCCTTGTCTACACTACACAGTTTTGTTGACAAATGTCAGCTTTTGTTGACAAAACAGCGGAGGTGTACACGCTGAAATGCTCCTCCTGCCTATGTAACTCCCCTACTGTGCCGACATCATAAAGCCATCTCAATGAGAGGCATAGGGCTTATGGTGGTGTAGTTAGGGTGATGCAGTGTCTGTGTAAACACTGCATTCCTTACAGCGGCTGTTAGCTGTCATCCTTGTCAAGAAAGCCGGCTCATGGGCTGCTGCCTGGGCCCCACTCCAAGCCGGGCTGCCACCCAGGCTCCCCACTGTCCGGAGTGAGCCCTGCTCTCCCACAGGGTCCCAGCTCCCCCTCAGGAGCACAGCAGCTGACTGGACTCCAGCTGCAAATCTCCCCGTCGGAGGCAAGAAGCCCTGGGTGGTTGCCCCGCTGCTCCCAGCTGGGAGGTTGAAGGCAAGAAAAGCTCCAAGGGGCAGATGGGCTCCCGGTAGAGAGCTGCATGGAGCTAACGGCCCTGGCTTTCAGTTCCCCACACTGCCCCTCTTCAGTCGGTGGAAGCACTCCTAGTGAGGAGACACACCATCGACAGGAGGGCAAAGTGGACATCAGCCACTGCAGTAATTAATATGGTGGCTGTAAGACAACCTAACATAGGTCGACTTATCTTTGTAGTGTAGACAGAGCCTTAAATGTCTGTTGCACCCCTCTTGAAAAGCACATGGATTAGCAAAGGAAAAATATTTGTAGTGGATACATTTTGCCCACCAGAGAAGGAGAAGAATTTAATATCATTTGAATAACAAAAAAGAATAGAAGCAGCTATTTTTAATCTCAACATTTGTATCACGTTATTCAGTCATCTAAAGGTTTCTCTAAATAATTAATCACCAGGCTCTGGTTACACAGAAAACATTTCAACAGCCTGATTTGTTTGAAGAGATTTGATTCATGTTAACAGGTTGATTCAGGCACTCAGGATGGACTTCATTGTTTTCAGATACTACAGCGATAAACCTGGTATAAATGTCTACAGCTAAGTAGGTAGGTTTGGTTTTTTAAGTTTATGCCTTTACATGTAACTAATTTTTAAGGGGTTTTTCAAATATTTATTCAAGATTTTTTGGACTGGTAATCTAAAGTGATTATGACAATACTAAGTATAACTAAGATCATCAGAACTTAATGATCCCCCCTCCCCCCATAATAGCCCATATTTTAATTTGTTTGGGCCAGTCACTAAAGCTAAAGCCAATGCAAAAAAAGCTTGTGTGGATTGGGTTTGGGACACTGGGGCCATACTTTGAGGTGTGGAGTGTTCTGAAACTATTCAGAATGAAGGGTTGAAAAAATCTGAGACGCCTCAGAGTAAAATAATGGAGTCTTGGAAGTTCCCTTTTCCCCAGGAAAAGTATTTTCCAGCCATTACACCAATACAAATATATTGTAATTGCCTGTAGTAGAACATCCATTAACTTCCAAATCGTTGCGCCAGGACATAGCCACATGATTACCATTGCATTTATTTATGGGTGCTTGACAAAATCCCTATGCCTCTGATTGTGGTTTCAGATTAATTCAACAAAAAAGAAAAATGTTATGGCAAAATTATATCACGTATGGACAGAGCTAGTCCTTGGTTAAGGAGGTAAATTACATACCATCGAAAACGCCTACTTGATGAACAGAGTAGTGTGGCAAGATTGCACCAATTTGCTTTGTAGGATTTTTGTGAGACGTTTGCCAGCTCTATTGCTAGATAAGACGGAGGATGAGCAGAGCAGCAATATTACGGGGTAAAGGGGAGTCCTGCTTTTAAATTGTTATTCAGCCTTCCATGCCAATGTTGTCTTTCTTAATGTTAGTCTTAGCAGAAACTCAGCTGTCAGATCCAGAGGTCAAGACCTGCTGAAGTAGTACCCTACAAAAGGGCGATAGGGACATTATGAAACCAATCCTCGTGGCAAGTGACTTTTCTTTTTTTATGTTTGGAGATCTTTTTTAGAGTCTCACAGAGACAGCTGAATTCAGACAAGCTTCTGTCTGGGGAATTTGACATTCACTGTTGGACCAGTTTTATCCATCTGATGTTTCCAGAGGCCGTATATTCTATTACATGTGCATGAGAAACCTCACTCAATCCTAAATTGCATAAACATTTGCAGGCCCTGAGCCTTAATTAGTATCATCCCTGTAGTATGATATGACTATGTTTAATACAGATACTGCCATAGCCCTGAAAAACAATAAGCTAAAGTCAGCTCCTTTTTGGTTCTTAGGCTTGTTTGAGTCCTGGCCAGAAAGGATGGGATGCGCAAAGGAGTGAGTTAGATGCTCAATCCTAGGGAATTTCAATGGAATCTAAATCCCTAACTTTCTTAGGCTCCTGTGAAAAATCCTAGCCAAGTAAATACAATAAAACAATTGTGAGCTATATACTGTTTGAAATGGGGATTTAGCTTTTCTGTCATGAACAAACAATCTGACTACAATGGAAGTCAAGGGTGCTATCATTTTCCAGGATTGGGCCATATGATGACTACGGAAATGGACAACAGGATGTTATGTACTCATTTCTTTATAAAATCTGCAATGCATAAGTTGCACAACTTTTTAAAAAGACTAGAAAATAAGCTCATAAATAATGCATTGTTTAGAGGTATATTCTCAACATTTCAGCTCCTAGGTCTTTTTCAAGGGAGTGTTCTGGAGAACATTAAATATCCAGTTGCATCTTAAATACTAATCTCCTAAAAGGAAAAAAAACCATGAAATCAGCTGTTTATAGCATTGTTGTAAATTGGCACCTAGCAGCTGTTCAGTTCATTTGATCACACCAGGTTCTCTGCTTCCCCAGCACATCCATCCGATCTGAAGCTGATTTAGTGCTTCATAAGACGTGATCTTATTTCCCAGCCGCACTTTGATAGTGAACACTCAGGAGTTTCCCCTTTTCTAAGGTAACCACTGGCCACTCTCTGTTGGGAGCTCTTATAATCTGTTGGTAATTGAAACGGGCTTATAACAATAAGGATGTGCATGGATCTATTACCATGTCTCCTTCCAAAGAAGGTTGGTTCAATTTTCAAATTATATACTGGCCATTAAATCACAGATTTGAAATGCTGAATAATGCAAAACAATATGCTCCTGGTTTTCAGAGTCAATGACCACCTGCAGCACCGCATGGTATCTGTTTCAGTGATTGGTTCGCCACCATTTTGAAAATCAGGTCAAGGGTGTGGTGTTAGGCATGCAAAATCAGAGGCTGCTTTTGTACATGTTGACTCTATGCATCAGCTTCCCCCATTCTGTAAAATAGGGTAATACTAATAACCTAACTCAAGCAAGCATCAGTCTGGGATTCCCATGGACATTTGGGGCTCAGAGAACTAGGGGGACCCAGGAGGACACTGCTCCTGTTGGGGCTTGGGCTGTGAACCCATCCTGATGAGCCCAGTGGGAGATCATCTGTAGATCCTGAGAGGCAGATCTAATGCCTAATGGAGAAGGAAACTGACTAAAAAAACCCTATTTCAGAGATATTTGTATTTGATTTTTTTTCATTAAATTTAAAATTTTGGCGTGTAATAATAAATAACTTTAGAAATCATGGACCAAATCCTTAGCTGCTTTAAATTCTCCATTATGGAGCTGTGACAAATTTCAGAAGCTGCCCCCAATTATTCCTGGTCATTTGTGCTGTTACTTTTGAAGTATATTTGCATAAGGCTATTTTATAATCCCAGTCAGACACTCCAGCCTGTGAGCTGTAGTGCAGTAATTCACACCTGCTGCATTTAACAGCACTCGGCCTTCAGCCTCATTCCAACAATGCACAAAGTGTGAATTATTACACCATAACTCATGCCCAAGAGTGGCTTGCTGCTCACACATCAAGTTGCTATCTAAATGCAGCAGTGGTCAGCCATGGTTTTGTATACAAGAGAAAATTTGTGCAAATATATCCTTGATAATGAGCATAGTTTTTAAAACAGTATTGTGCTTATTTTCAGTTTGAGGTTGCATTTCTTGAACCTTGGCAAATATTAAATCTTTTGATTGCCATGTGGTTGCTTCAAGCTTCTGAGACTATCAGCTGTAGGCAGGACAAATCAAGGGGTAAACCAATACAGTGATCAATTCAACAGTCATTGAAAAACAAGAAGTAAAATAATCTTCTTCCCAAGTGACGGAGTCCCCTATTCAAGAAAACACTTAAGCATGTGCATAATTTTAAACATACTT